TAATTGACACCTTTGATGTAGCCTAAGACAGAACCCGCACCTCCCACTGCTGCTTGGAAGACGTCAGCCTTACGCAGAAAAGGCATCTGCTGATGAATCCTGCATCTCATTCAGTTTGCTCTGGGAGCAGCCTTAGCCATCCTTAACTCACCCGACGCCTCCCATTTCCGCGGGTGCTCGGTTTAGTGCTGAGAAGGGATTTCGCCTCTTGCTAGTGTCAGGTCAAACACTGTGTCCATGTTAGAACTCATAGAAGGTAAGTTAATATGTGATCACTCTCCCCTGTGGAAAGTGTTTATTATGCACCCGCCAGAATCTGTGTGTCTCATTGCTAGTGCTACTTCATTGACTGTGGATGTAAAGCATGTAAAAATGTCATTTTACAGGAAAAATCTAGTGACCTTCTAGAGCTTTATAAAGTCATGTCTTTAAGTGTTTTATCAGTTCTTAGTGGTAATGTTACTCAGAGAAAAGAATTGCTTACTCGAGTTCTGTGGCTTTGATTCAGTTTAGTGATAATGTTGCATGAACGTCTAGAGAATGATAAGTTTCCAGTGATTTAAACCTTTGCAAAGCCACTTTACTTTTCAATAGAGTAAAGTCACACTGTGAGAAGTTCTTGAATATCTGTGCCAGTTACTTTTCCTGTTGAAGGCAAGTCCTTCAGAGTTGTTAGGGAGGTTGCAGGGCACAAGTGGATGCAGGAACTTCAGGAAGTGAGTTCTTAGCTATAAAACAGCAATCTCTTTTAATATCACTTGTGAGCTGTGCTAATATTTGCTCCTTCTGGGTGGTCCTGGGAAACGGAACTCAGGAATTAGAGATGAATCCCACTGAAAATGTCTTCCGACCTTAGCGACCTTCTTTAAATCTCTATTGGCACTATTGAAGGCATCATTAGTAATTTTTCAGGAAAGTTGTGAAAAGTACATTGAAAAAAAATTTTATGTGCTTGCTGCCATAGTAAACACAGGATTAGCAAACAAAACAGTAAATATCTGAAGAAGGCTACTCCATAAAGCTTTTTTCCAGAACTGTTAGGGGGCTGCCCTATAACAGAACTACTGATAAAAAGATGTTTGGAATTTAGCAACTTCCCCTTTACAGCTGTTTATTTCTCTTAGAAGATGGTCTGTTATGAAAGTTCTTTGACATGTAATTTTTTTTTCTGTGATTCTTTGTACTTCTAGTTAATGGAACCCCTGGTAGTCAGCTCTCTACTCCCCGTTCGGGCAAGTCGCCAAGCCCATCACCCACCAGCCCAGGAAGCCTGCGGAAGCAGAGGGTAAGGAAATAAATGAGCTTCTCTTTAAGAGCTGCCTGACCTGGGGTTCAGAGTGGCACAGGTGCCTACAAATAGCCCTGTCCTAATAGTGCTGCTTGTCTCTAAGAAATCACCAGGCTAGGGCCGGAGATGACCAACAGCAGGTCATTTATTTCTGCTTATTATCATTTCTCTTATCTAGAACTCAGAGCTTTTAATTTCTCAGTAAATTTGTCCAAATCTTAACTGTGGAAAATAAATATCTGCTGCTTCACTTATAAATACCCCACTCTTTTGTTCTGAATGCACAGATGTTACTGGCTTTAGTTCGTAAATGCCTTAGTTATAACTAGTTTCTTTAAATATGGCCATAGACCTTCAGGCTTTCCTAAAGAAGAAAAAGAAAAAGGGCCCTCATCAGAGAGGTGATCCATGGTGGGCAGCTGCTCTATGGCATGAAATGATGGTCCAGAGTGACGTGGGCTTCACGGGATGGAGACATGTGACATATTTTGTGAATGAGCCCACATTGAGCACCTTCTTTTTCATCACCGCCTGTATTTATTTTTTAACGTCTTGTGTAATGATGGAGAAGTTTATGAGCCTTGGACGCAAAGGTGATAAAGTTACCAGAAAGATGCTGAGGAATGGGGGTGAGGATGGCTCTTCTTTCAGGACGGAAGAACTATGGTTCTTATCCCTTTAAATCAGTACTGTTGGTCTCTTCCAATTATACCCTGGCAAGAATAAAAGGAGTGGGAAGGGAAGGAGGGGGGAGGTGCAGTGGAGGAAAAGAAGAGCTTCCATTGTCCTGATTTCAGAAGTGAGGTTGGGAGAAACGAGTTGCTCTCAGGAGAGTTTCTGATGGTACTCACTGGCCATTTTCATAAACAAAGGCTTCTGGGAGGATTCGGAACTCGAAGTCTGGATTTTTGAAGTTGGTTTCTTTTATTGTATGTTTTAAAATGAGACTTCTGAGTTGCATAAATTTAAATTGCATCCAAGGTGCAAGGTCCTCTTTTCAGACCTCCTTCCAAGGTTGTGTCTACAAGAGCCCATCTAAAAGTGGGTGTCAGGTTGTCGCTCAGTCCCCATTCCCTCTGTCTATCCCACCAGATATCAGCTTGTGTTGTCCTTCTCCTCGGAACTAACTGGCACCGTGTTCAACAGTTTGGATCATTTGGTGAGGCCTAGGGTTTGGCTCAAGCTCCTCTGCTAAATGGCTGTGATATTTCAGATATTAACCCCTCTGGGCCTTAGTTGGAAAAACAACACAAAACAGAAAAGAGGCTCTTGCCACTTAGAAAACCCATAAATTCTATTCCGGTTCCATCTCAGCGTGTCCAGTATGACTTTCTTCTTTGCCGTGGTCTAATTTGGCATTTTAAAGTCCAGGAATCCTTACTGAGCTACTACAAGAAGAATTGGCCAATTATTTACTGTCCTGAAAGTCTATCTTTGAGTGTTGGGTGGCGTAGTGGGGTGATTTTTTTTCTTGTAACTGCCATCCAGCAACGGCCCCCTCCATGGCAGAAGCCTTGAGAACTGATAGCACCGAAAGAGCCTTATTTCACAGAACATTCTCTCTTTTGAACTGTATACTTTAGAGAGTACACCTGGCATAGAGAGTCCTCTTCATCCTTTGAGCTAATTAAACTGAGATTCGGGATGCAGCTCTTGCTTAGTTATTGAGATTAAATTGGAGTGATTGAGAATCCCAACCACAGATGAGCTTCTCTCCCTGCTTGCTTGTGGAGACCTTCACTTTGGGGCTGTAAAGTATTTTGGTGAACTGTCCCTTTGTTGGCAGGCAAGGCTAGAATTTGCTTTGTCTGCCCTCTGTATTTTCACCATGATTTTGTTCAACTGAGGCAGAAAATTTCCATCTAGTCACCAGTGGCTTATATACTTAACACTGGCACCTGGGAAATGATTATAAGGGATGTTTCTTCTTATAGTGCCTTCATTTTGTCATTTAAACTACCAGCACAAGCACCATACTTGAGTGGGAAAAACAATCCCTTTTGTTTTAGAGAGACAAAGGGTTTATCGTCATCTGAAAACATTTATTAAGCACATGTTGTGAGCAGAGTGCTGGATAATTCAGAGATGGTGTAGTCTCCAGGCTTTTGAATTTAGACCGTAAATGAACATCCTCCGTCCATGTACCATGTCAGTGCGTGAAGACATTCCCAGCTGCTTTCACTAGAGGAGCTTTCATCTTGGTGTGGAGGCAGCGGCATCAAATAACCCCTCCCAGTGAAAATGGGTCTAGAATATCCCTAAAAACTGATCCTGTTTCAAATTTGGTTAATGTTCCTCTCAAATATTTGGCTATGCCCTTTTGCAGGAAATACTGAAATAAGTGAAAGATGGCAAGTGCTAAAAGAAGACACTTCAAAGAATAAATTAACTCTTTTTATTGCAAATTGGAAAGCAGTAGCTACTTCTATTTTTCCTTCTGTGTTGCCTAGCAACATGGCCAGGAAAATGAGGGTGGCTGCCCCCACCCCAAGACAAACACACACACACACACACACACACACACACACACACTTCCTACCTGGTTTTAAAGCACAAGAATGTAAGTTGATTTTTATTTAAAGAAATATTGAGACATTTGACCCACTTCTTAAATAAGAAAGCCTATTTTTTCTTTTTATTAATTTTGATGATTAATTCCCTTTCTTTTTTTTTCTTAAACTCGTATTTTTATGTTACCTCTTTTGACATCTTAGAATAGTCCTCGGCTGCATGCCAGATATTTTTCTTCATGAAAGTACTGGTGGTAATGTCCCAAGCAGCCTCCTTATTTTTCCTGAGCAGTGATATTTAAGTTGCTGTCTAGAAGCATTTTACTGGTCACGGAAGCAGCTTTTGGAGGCTCTGTACCATCTATGAACTTTTTTTGGTCCCATTTCTTAATACATCAGGAAGAAATGTGTTGTGGTGTGTAGGTTGAATGAAGCTCCCCATTATACTCCCACGTCGCTGACTTTTGTAGATTATCTGATCAGTCAGATGATGTGAGGAGTGGGTGGCACAAAATAGAAAAAGAAGCCAAGATTCTAGACACTGCAGATTCTGAGCTGGTTGCCTGGCTACCACAGAGAGATCTAGTAGCAGAAAGGGATGGGAGGGGAAAAGAGAGGAGGTGATGGGTGAGTGGTTGGGAACAGGGAAGAGCAGTGAAAGGGATGAAGGAGATCACATTGGCTTGCTCTCTGTCTTCCAAACGTAACACTTTGAAAAGGCAGTGTTTATTGGATTTATGCTGTGTGCAACAATTGAGTAGCTGCACCAAAATGCTGAATGTCAGTTTAGGAGTCCTGGTAAATTATTTTGTGAGGTAAGCACATTCCTCTTCTACCCAGAATGGGCAGGAACTGTGCAAGGAAGCATTGCCCAGACACATAAGAGCAGTGCTGGCATTGACAGACCTCAGGGGCTATAAAACTCAACTGGACACATAGGCAAAGCTCACGAGCAGAGCAGGCAGCATTTCTTGCCAATGCAAAATAAGCACCATTATGTTTCCTTTTATCCAATGTCGTGGCTCTAAAAGGTCAATGACCACTGGTCAGTAAACCAAGGATTTCATTCAATGTTGCTCCACTCTTAAGGGAGCCATAGGGCACCCAAGAATGCCAAGTAAACAAATCTATACTGCCCTTCATCTTACAGGACCTGTATCACCCCCTCTCTTCGGATGATTTGGATTCAGTAGGAGACTCAGTGTAAAAGAGACAATGGAGCAATGTGTATGGTTTGTGATTGGGTGAAGGTTTCATATTTCCTAAGCAAAAGCCTAACAGCAAAACACACAAAAGAGCTTTGCATATCTTGAAATTATGAAAACCAAATTGTATAATGATAAATACACAAGTATTTTATATTCATAATGTTAATCTGCAAGAAATTAAACAAAAAAATCTACATTGCTTTGGTTGGGGTAAATTTGAACTCAAACTGGCTCAGTTATTGAGAATTTTGTGAGACCCGACTTTTAATGAATTTCATGTATGGATCCAATAATGAGTACAAAAACATACTAATGATGTAGCATTACAGAGTTATATTTCTGTAGCTGGGTTTTTATTTCAATCATAAGCTGGTATGTAGTTATCCTTATGTAAGTATATAAGGTCATATCTTAGGAAGACCTAGGCATCAGGAAGTTTCCTTATTTATGTTGTCAAGTAAATCTTATTTTTTAAAGTATCTTTTGTTGGAGACAGCATACATATACCTTAAACTACATACCATCATGAAGTACTTGTTCAGTGGCATTGCTATAGATTATTTCGTTCCTTCTTATAACCACATATGTCATATTTCAAATGTGTAAAGGCTGAATCTATGAAATTCTTTTTACACATAGGTTCAAATAAAACATGTCTGGACTTGTTCCAAAACATAAATTTGAACAGCAAAATATCTCAAATGGTGTTATACAAATCAGAACCAAAATATCTAAATCTCCATTCTGATAAATCTTGGATCTTTCTCGTATTTTGGAAATTTTCATATGCAAAACTCCTTTTGTGTAAAACCAAGTATGTCTATGACTATAACCCACTGTTAAACCTTAATCTACTAATTCTGCACTAGTAGTCCTTTATTTAAATATATATATAGTCAGCTTTGCTTAAACATAAAGTAATTATTTTAAAATCTGAATGTTAAAATTAATTTAATGTGTATGGTCTGTTGTATTCAAGCCATAGCCAAGTAATCATTTACTTTTACTCGTTCAAATACTAACAATTTAAGACTCATGAAGCATGGTATTGGTATTCTATAGGTTTGACACATCTCAGTAGGTGATAAATTAAAAATGTATGATGCCATTTGGAGGCTTTTACTTGAGTTTTTTTCCTTCAAATTTTACTTGAAAACTGAATTGAAAAACAAAATGTTTGATTTAAGATGGAAAGAAACTGCATTGTAATATGCCGTTTAAATGCTATCAATTTATCTGCTTGATAAATTGTTCAACTATCAAATTTTACCATCTGGTTTATAGTTACATATGTTACCATCTCACTTTCTAAGTGAATAAAATATTCCAACCAAAAGAAGTAAAAAAAAAAAAAAAAAACCCAGAAACAGTCCAGGCAACCTAACAGCATTTGAAAACATAGCCTTATAATAATTAGTGCCTCATTATCCTGTCTGTTGGGGAGAAAGACACTTCTCTGGCAATTTATTCAGGAACCACAAACTGAACCATTCCATCTTGAAAGAACAGTTCATAATAATACCTGTTCCAGACTTCAGGTTTTAAAACTGTTTCTAATAGAAATGAACAGAGACTCCTGCTGAGATCAAAAGACTGCTTTGTTTTAACTGAAACAGTAAACATCTGTGAAGTTGCCTATGCTGGTGTCTGTTCTAGTTATGTCTTTGTAAAATGCATTACTTAATACAGTTGAGTCCATAAAGGATTAGTATGTATTTGACTGAACTGTCAAAAATGCAAAGAAAGCAGTGGAACAGTTAACTTGAATCTGGTGGGGTAGATGGTCCATAACAAAAATAAATTCCAACAATTTTAACTTCCCTGCACTGTCAATCTTATAGACAACTACTGCTTAGAGAGGTCCAATAAATGCTATTTGTTCTGAATAAGTGGCAGATATTGCCAATTGATATGAAGCCCATGGCTTTGTTTAGACACGGCAAAAAGAAACTGGACTTGTACTAATTGCCGATAGATATCATAGCCAGCTTTCCATTCAAGCAGTTCCAAGGGAAATGCTATTCCACAGCATTTAATCTTTTGAACATATGACTTTTATTAAAGGACTGTTCAGGGGCAATATATATCATTTACTTTTGAAACTAAAGTCCCTAAGAGATTGAAATAGCACACCATTTATAGACTTTGAGATCTCTTTCTATGCAGAGGGTAATTCCATTATGCTACAGCAGAAATTTTAAAAATGCTTAACAACAAACCAGCAGTTTTCAGTTCATTGGTGGAATCAAATCAGTGATTTATAGGCACTTAAGATTTACTTACTTACAGAATTCTTTTTCAAAATTAGACAATGAATTTTAAAATTGTTCTATTGAGCAGAAGAGAACTCCAGAAAAAGCCATGCATTTTTGTCCTTATGGTAAACCTTAAATCGCTATGAAGACATTTTGCTCTGGTTAAAATTTTTATATTTTTTCACTTGCAGTCGCGTTTTCTTCTTTGTTATCATAAAAAAGATATTGTACATATTTCTCTGCTTTCAGCATTTTAGAAATGCAAAAGCTAATAATATCAAGTGTAAGGTTCAGTGTGAACTCAAAAGACTGATTCTGAAAGCCACGTGGTATGTTCTTTGTCTTGCTTAATCAATTGAGTGGGAAAAAAATTCCACAATGTTTCTACACTGTCACAGACTTTAAAGAAGTTCTACCCATCTGTACACATCCCTGTGTTCATATATTGGCTCATCTAAATATAAAACAATCAAATAACATTGTCTAAAAACATTCTGAACTAGCATTTATGTACTCCATGTACACAAAAGTGTGTTCCCAGCCTTAACCAGAAGGGGCATTTTGGTTATGTCCACTGCACATTTATACGTGACTGTGCTGTCTTTTTTTTATATTATTATTAAAAGACAGTGGAGTCTAAAAACCACATTTCTTAATAAAAATGGATGAAAACATAACACAATATTCCCAAAAAATAATTCCGTATTTTTAAACTATTGGACTACTAAATTTTTCACATGTGGCCATATATCTATACAGATGTGTGGGTGCTTATGTAAATTTGTAGGGCTAAGTGTGTATGTGGATGTGTTATAGAAGTATTTGTGTATGTGTATAGAACAGAAATAGTAAAGTATAATATTTGTGACACAACCTTATAAGTTACTGGCTTTTATGGACTTCATGTCACAAATTGCTGCAATGTTGGGTCATAGGTAAGTTCAAAAGTAGTTTGCTAAACAACTATGCAAAATGATTCCAAATATTCAGATGTACTGATTTTTTTAAAAAAAAATTAGAATCAGGTTGTAAAACATTTGATATTCAGACAAATCCAACATTGCATTAACAATTAAATATAAGCACACATTAATGTTTATATATCTGATATCCAGTTAGTGAAATGACTGAATACAATTATCAGTTTTCTCTAGTGTGTGTTTATTGAAGACACATAATGATTGTCAGTCAGTATCCACTAAAAAGGAGGTACTCATTTGTAGGGTTTTGAGTAGTTGAATATTATGTTGAAACATAAATAGAACAGAATCTAAACTATATTTGACCTGAAGTTTAGTAACAAAGCCAGATAACCTGTAAGGCAATTTTATATGTTGTTTGCAAAACACTATTTTAAACTGCTGGCATATTTTACTAGTTATAAATTTCTGTTATAAGTGTGTGTGTGTAAATATATACAGGTATGTAAGTATGTATGTATGTATGCACACACACTGACCGATGCTATTTGAATGAATTTACTATATAAGCATACATTTGCTATTTATGCATATTTGCATTAGCTTTGCTAGCATTTCTAATTGTGCATGTTAGTGACAACTGTATTTGATTGAGATATTCCACAACACTACAGTGTGAATTCAGTATACCAATGCCTGATGCAGTCTATTATACTGTCAACTGAAAAATACTTGTAATTTTGTGCCTGTAACGCATATGGAAAAGATAGGAAATCTGAGGCCCTACCTATAATTTTTAAGGTGCATGATATATTGTGTCTTAAAAATGTGGTTCATTTTAGTAAAAATGATGATAAATTCCAAGATAGTATAAATGATGCATGTGATACATGGGTGTTTGTATTATATATGGCCACAAAATGTTTTTAAAGCCAGGGTAGTAGGTATCTGAAAAGTTAGTGGAAAAGCTATGAAAGTTAATTTTCTTCTGAAGATTTTGTTTTCAAGATTATATTCATCAACAATGCAAGGAATTGAACTTATTTGTTCTAAATTTTTACCTTTCAATATACTATGAACGTTAATTTGGATACAATTTTATAAAATGATTGACATACTTTCTGCTTACAGTTTGAGTTACTTGGATATGTAGTCTTCTGTTTAAAACAGTAGTTAGTGTTAAAATGTTTTAAACAGCTATAGGTTTAAATTCCACCAGTCAAAGCCATCAGCAAAGTTTTATAGAGCTAAATTCTGAAATGTTTCATTGAACTAATTTTTAAAGTCCCATTCCTTTGTGCTGCAGTTTCATTGTAAAATGTTGTACCTTGTGTTTCACTGGACCCTGCTATTCCTCTCAAAGTTAACTTTGTGACATCACCTTAGGTTACATATATAATAAACAGGAAAAATCTGCTATGTTGTTCGGTGAATTCTTTCAGAATCCTTGATAAGTAGACATTGAAATTGAAATGATTGTGTAGGGTAAGAGTTATTTTCATACTTATGACACTCGTGATATAATTAGCATCAGCAAGTGATACTTGAGATATTGCAGAATAGAACTACATGACATCATCTGAAGTATAAAATACTGACCAAGAACAAAATAAGAGTACTATCTGATGAAGAATTCTATTTCACTCAGTTACATTAAAATCATTAATGTACTTTCAGAGCTACCTTAAGGGCAAATTTTTCAACAAATTGGCAACTAGTTGGAAAAAAATCAAATTACCATGCATTTTTAAAAAAAAACATTTTAGCTGTCTCTCAGACTTGAAGTCATTTTTCCTAAGGTCATCTAACTTACAGGGGGGAAAAGGAAATGTGTATATGTGATGTGTGTGTGTATGCATTTATTTCCAAAGCACTGATAAACTGTAAAGTATATAATAAAATTCATAAAATAATGATAATAAAATACTTGTTTCTCCAGCTTTAATTTAGAATCCATAACCTATTTGTTCATAATATGGTGTAAGGGAGAGAAAAAGTTCTATTGATGTAGGTAGAATGTATTTTAATATTAAGTTTATTATAGAAAATAAAAATTCCGGTTTTAAATCTAACATTTCTGCTAGATTTATTTTAACATTAAAATTGCAGTTTGCTTTAGTCGATTCTCTTTAGTATTGCCTTGATAACCTAAATATAATCAATACTGTAAAGAACAGTGGTACAACTGGAGGGAATGTTTGCAAGTTTATAAAATTCCAAACTGTGTTTATATTTTCCAATATATATAGTAGAGCTTAAAATAAAAGGGAGCAAGTGCTTGGAAGAGTAAAGAGCTCCTTTCATAACAGGTTGGGAATCCTATTTAAGGAGTAAATCATAGAATTATTTTATTGAGAGAGGGGATACACTACATTGCTTCCTGACCCCCTTCCTAATTCTGATTTTTTGAAGAGTAACTTATAAAAGGAGGCAGCATGCCCTTCACCACCTCCAGTTCAGATTCTGAATTTATAGGTCTTGGCCTGAGTATGGTCACTAAAAAGGAAAGACGAAAAGACTGTCTGATATAACAGAGTTGTAACTAAATGCATTTATTTTGTATTCTTGGTTCCTGTGACTTTCCTAACATAGATTTAATGACAGTATTCCCACTTTCATTTTCTCTTTCTCTAAGATAAACCAGTTTCCTAAATAGCAGTTCTCCAGTTTTTTTAAAACTTTGACCAAATGTTTATAACATTTTGCAATTTTCAATAGTCATTTTTGTTATCCACATGATTATCCATCCCATAAACTTTATTTTGGCTAAACTTACTATAAAGAATACAGACAAGGGGAATTTGGAAAAGGGGATCGATCCCTTTGTACCTTGTTTCAAATAATGGAGCTCTCTTATAATTGAAGCTTGATGTCATCAATTTATGTTCTACATTCACTTGGATTTCAAACTCACTGCATCAGGATTATGATTTAATTTTATTGCACAGGGTCATTCTTTAGAAATTCTGTGTCAAGTCAATACCACCAAGACAACTGTGTGCTTTTGTTATGTATCCATTGGTTGTTTCCTTTATAAAATTGGTCAAGTTGATTTCTAATTTTTTAAAATCATTTTCCAAATTATTGTTAACAAAGTAATAATCATATGCCTAAGTAAAATATGGATTAGAAATAATACAATTATTTAGCCAAAGCTCAAGTTACTGGTAAGATTTTTCTACCTTGATCAGATCAACTGGGTCAATTGGTATTTTTGAAAACTTTATATGGAGTGGACCCCGGTTGATTGACACCATTAATACAAATAGCAGGAGTAACTCATACCATTTATATTTAAAATGAACTGTTTTTCCTACAGTCATCAGATACATCTTGGTAAAATGTGGTTAGAGCTGTTATGTCAGATTTCTCACTTACTTCAAAAAAGTGTGATATGTTCTCCATCTGTTATATGATCCCAAGTTAAATAGCTACACTTAGGATGTGTTCTTACTTAGGGCAGTGCTTTTATGAAGGTGTGCCATAAAAGCATCCAGGTGCCAGCAACCTGCCCACATGGTTCCCATTAGATCTGCTTGGAGGTGATGACATTTCAAATGTCACAATATCTCTAGAGCAGCTAATTGCATTAAATTCTAAAATAACTGTATGTTTTTTTATTGTATATCCAGATGTCTTAGAATTAGCAAACTTACTAAAGAAAACAGACTATAAAATGTTTTATCTGCTCAAAAAAACATAATAGATAAACCCATGTATAATAAGCATGCAAAAATATAAGTGAACTTCTTAGCTTCTTTTGGTCATAAATAAAGTTTGGTTTAATCTCATTAGGTTAATTTTAAAGAAAAAGAACTTGCACCTTTTCCTTTTACTATTTTCAAGATCAGTCAGTTTTAAGGATGATAATTGAAGTGTTTCGGCACTATGTATATTTAGGATTAGTAGCAAACTTATACAAAGAGCCAATCTTATTCTAAATGACTTCAAATGGGAGAGAGAGCAGAAATGTTGGGTGACAAAATCAGAATTCCAAATAACCAGCTGGAAGGATGTGAATGTAATAAAAATGACATTTAACATGAGTAACTGTGAAGTCCTAGACTTGATCCAAAACACCAGCATCCCAAATGCAAAACAGGGTGACCAACCCAACTGTGAGCTCAAGGAATGACTAAATGTTATGACTCTATCAATAAGTCATTATGATCTCAAATGCATTCATTCTCTATTCACAAGGAAGAAAACTATCTTTTCTGCTCTGGGCTGTTCGGTGTGCACCTACAGTATTACCTTCAGTTTGTTGCTTTGTTTTAATTTTTATTGAGGTTCCATTGTTTTATAACATTGTATAAATTTTGCATTCAGTTTTGAGCACCAGCAATCACAAGAGAGAGTGACAACTGACTGTGTCACTCCACCAGGAGCATCAAAAGGTGATGAAGATTTTGCATGATTAACAACCAAAGAAACTGGGAATATTCAAGTTCAAAAAACACAGAAGGAACCAAGTAGCTCTTAACACATGAAACAGGTCCATCATTAAAGCCATTTTGTTCAAGTAGTAACATTGATTGAGGAGGAAAATATACTGGCAATGTTGTACAAATGGGTGGACTGTGTTCATTATTTAAGAACCTGGTATTGTTATATGTCATTCTGTTTAAAGTTGCAGTTTCCAAGAACATATGCATTAAGTCAGGGCGTACTGTATCTGAAGCACTATCTTAGGAAAAATGGGTTAGATCTCTACTGATGACACCAGAGGTGAGATCTGGGATGAAAAAATGGGAAATGAAGAGAGACATCTTTTCAACCTAATTTAAGAAAGAACTTTCTTTGCCTCATATTACAATTAAGGGAATACCTTGGAAGTAGAGTGTTCAGTACTGCAATATTTCATTTGACTACATAGTTGGTATTTTTGTAGCTGAAATTTGATCTCTAGATAGAAGTAGGAAGTAGTAGACAATATTTAAGGTCCATTCCAGTCCTTTAAATTGTTTGAATCCACAAATGGTCATTGTTTTGGAAAATGTATTATGTTAGCTGTCTTTGGGGAGAACAAAAGATAACACCATTAGAAATCAATTTTTTTACTCCATTTAAGCATAATAGGTAAAAAATGGGAACTTTCAAATTTTAGACTACCCTATGTATAATTTTTTTAAAGATTTGTTTATTTATGCATACAAGAACTGGGGTACAGGCCAGAGATGTGGGGGGTGAGAGGATTCACCAGAGACAGACTGGGGAACAGAACAGGCAGACTGATCAAAGTACACTGCCGAGGGGAGCAGTGGGTGAGACAGGAGAGGTCTGCCTCGCCACGTGGGTAGCTCCCTGGCTGGCCGGGGATCGAACACATGCTGCAGAGGGCTGCAGATTGCTTCATAGTGCAGTGCTTAACTAACCCTTGTGCCACCAGGGAGGCCTTGTATAATTGTTTTTTAATTAAAATTGTCTGTTACTCTCAAACAACATGAAATTTAAAATGATATTACATTCTTAACAAATCTAAAATTGAAAATAAGCAATTTTGAATATTAGCAAAATTGTGTTAAAACCTACTTTTTTTTTCCCCCAGAGACTAAAAACCTTGAGGGCTTTTTGTTCATAAGGCAGAGAAAACACAGCTGGCATTGTGGCAAGCATTCAGGGCATCAGACATTTGGTGGCACTGTTGAAAATGTAATTCATTAGTTGATAAGGCAGTTTAGTGAATAATACCCAATAAGTTTATAGAACACAACAGCTTTAAAGATGTTTTCATATACTTTGGGTCAGAGTTCTGGATTGGTTATTTGATGTTCTTATTAAAAGAACAAGTTTTTGGAATGAGTGCATAAATTGTGGACATCTTTGTGAGAAAACACGCCACTAGTCTATTAATTCGGGGCCTTGATGAAAGAATGTCTTTGTATTCTAAAATTTTAAACACCATATGACAAGACAACACCTGCCACCCCAAACCACAATGTGTCTACATTATTAAACACCATTTGAGATGCTGCTGGAAGAAATTCAAGCATCAGAAAGCTCAGAAGAGAAGATGTGCATTTTAGAAATTGACCTACTGCTTTTCTGCCGGAACACCACTATGTCTACAGGAGAAGTGGTGACATGGGAATAAAAGATCCCACTGTTCTGAAAAACACACACCTTCCTCTCAAAGGTGGTAATGTTAATGTTTATTTTCTCCAGACATCAACATCATAAATCTGCCTTGTCTCAGCCTCGTCTTCCAATATTATAAATACAAGGTTTTCACAAACAGACATCCGTAAAAGTCAGCAGAGCGTGACTTAGAAGCTCATACATTTACAGTGCCTTCAGCAGAGTCAGTGATGACTACATAGTGTTATACCGAGAAAAACTCTGTTTCTGGGTCACCATATGATCTGCATCCCTCTTTCTAGCCTGTCATAGGTAAATGTGTGCTACTGGTCACAAAGTGAGGCTGCATGAGAGAGAATGGAAAAAGAGCTTGTCAGCAGCCTGATTGATGGGGGATTCTTACAATACCGGAAAATAAAGGGCACACCACACAAACTATGTGGCATTCAGAGGTAGAGTAATCGCAAAAAAGCTTCTATAATGTCCTATAAAGAAACAAATGCATCTGTCATGAATTTAATATTTATTCCAATTGTGTCAACCATCAGCTTCAATGAACTTGTCCAATGGAACATGCTCATCTTAGCAGCACCCAGGAAAAAGTTCTATGGAAATTGAACCATGTGACCTTGCAGTGATTTAAATAGCATTTCCCCATCTATATTATCTACTTGGTAAAATCTAAAACCTTTGAATTTCCTGTGTGAGATATTGTTGAACATCAATTATTATATAAAGTTTCTCCCTCTTTGTGTACACTTAAGGCTGGATGGAATCGGGAGGGGAGGTTGAAGGGAGAGACAGGTAAGCAGAAGAAAATAGGCCAATACTGCTTCTTGCTACCTCTTCATTACTAATTCAGCTACAGATGCTTTTTCCCTTCTCTCTGCTCCACAGACAGCCGGCACCATGCGCCAGTGCCACCCCCTCACCGCCTCCTGCTCCCATCAGGCCAACCAAGTGGATAAACCCAGGGAAACAGAAGGAAGATCTTTTAGGACAAGCTGTGTTCACTATTTAGAAATAGCATTGAAATGTGAAAATTGTTTCTCAAGGAATAGATGCAGAGATGGAAATGTTCATTGTTAAAAGTACTGCCCTATAGCTGATCCTAGTATTAAATATTTGATATTGCATTCTCCTCTGAGCTTTCTACTTTCTACCCTGTTTGTTTTCACAGGTCTTGGGTCAAAATACACTAAAAATACAAGGTAATCAGCAGGTTTAGGCTTTTATTCCCATTTTTGCCTAGACTTCTTGTGTATCATTTAAGATATCAATAACCTAATGAGTGCTTGTGTCTTTACTCAAGGTGGAATTAACAAACCCATTCTTTTGCCTTCTTCAAGGATGTGGTAATGCTGAATTTTTTTAAGGATATTCCATAAAAACAGACTGAAGAGAAACTTTTTCTATTATAAGAATAGAAAAGGTATTGGAGATCAGAATGGCGCCATATTTGAGGCCCGTTTGCAGATAGACTGGAAGCGTGAGGTGAGATGCCTAAAATCTGCCAAGCCTAAACAGCAAGATAAAAGGTGCTAATTTTGAGAAAAATGAGTAGAAAGTCATGGAACTTCCAAATTTACAATGATTAAACTTTCACAATTAACACCATCTATTGGTTAATGGGGTAGGAGGAAGAGGTGACCCTAATTGAATAGTCTAAGAACCTTCCTATGCAAGTGTTACAGCCAAATCTTTCCTGGTGGTGGGTGCAGCTATCTCCTGAGATTCTGGGCTGGAGGTAGCACCTGGAGACACAGGCACTATGACCAAGTGTTTTTATTCTCTGTTTCTGTTCCCTTTCAGAGCTCTCAACATGGAGGCTCCTCTACTTCACTTGCGTCCACCAAAGTCTGCAGTTCGATGGACGAGAACGATGGACCTGGAGAAGGTGGTAAGCACGTATGGAATGTGGTGCTGTGGAGAAGGCTCAGCTTGTAGAGGGGACAGAGGATAGGTTGGCTAAATTTACTCCAGGAACCTGTAACTTCTGAAGCAGGATGAATGGAGGAGTTCATAAGGGTCAATGGCAAAAGGATAGGATCAATAAGGCTCCCACAGGGGATCAGTATCTATTTTATTTGAACACAAAGTGGGGGTTAACCTGATTTGGAGACACTTCACATCCTCTGAGGGGGTAAAGAGCCTAAGAAGGCAAGATGTTGCCCACTGTGAAAATACAAAGGGGGTAATTGCTATCCCAAATTCTTTTTACTTTTAACATATTAAAGACAATTTAATCTGTTGACTGACAGTTATAGCCCTGCTGATGTACTCTAAGTGAACTCAACATGTGAAAATATGACCTTTATACAAAGAATTAATTGATGGTAATTTCAAAAATATTCTTTGTACCTTAAGCTAATGCATTTTAGAATTGATTCCTTTGTGATATGGTTAGATGACCTAGATCTCAGAATTGATGTTTTTCATGGTCTCACTGGATGGTTTTGGATAAACCTCTTCAACACTGTAAAATGGAGATTGTAATACATGTTTATTTCCTCCCTATGGATTGTTATCAGGCTCAAATCAATTATGGGGAAGTATTCAGAAAAGTATAAAACTGATATGTTCAAGATATTGTGAAAGAATTATCTCCCTTATTTGTTATAAATGAAATGATTTAATTTTCCCAAAGTACCTGGAGGTGGAGGAAGCATTTTTTATTTTATTCAGTGAGATATATGATTCATACAGAATTACTTCCTGAGTACCATCCATTATCAGATATTTTTGTATTTCTGAAAATATCAAGTTCAGCCATCTTAAGAGTCTCTTGTTGCAATGTGTTGTATTTACCTAATAAATGAAATGAAATGATCTTTGCTGAGCTTTTGGCTAAGCCTTCTTAGCTAAAAGCCTAAAAGATATATTTTATCAATAGTCAGGGGAAAAAATTCCCAAGCCCTGTGGTTCAGATGAGTTCTTCAGTAAATGTTCCCACTGGAAAGAAGGATGAAAGTACCTCCTTCCATTTCCCATGCCAAGAGTCAGACTTTCTCCCCAACAGCCAAGGATGGATACTCTTGTAATCCAGGTGATAAAGAACCTTAAGACCCTGTCACCTGAGACACATATTATAAATGTGGGAGCTTTGCTATAGAGGTGAAACTTCTCCAACCATCTTTTCTAATTCACATGAAGTAGGCAGAAATCCTCAAGCTAAGTCCTTCAGAGGTAAAGTGTGATTTTGGGGGTCAGATGGTGGTACTTCTGGGGACTAATTTGCTCCAACTTTCACTTCATTCTGTAAACTGCTATGATAGCTTCTAATGGACTAAGAGTAAAATGTCACCTATGAAGAGGTAGAGGAAGAGGCTGTGCAAATGCCAAGAGGAAAAAAAGTAGCAGCAGCAAATGTCCTACATTTATACAATGCTTTCTAGAAATTCCATCCACCCCTAGAATCCAGAATCAGAATAAGGGTGCTAGAGCAGTTGTCTGAAGACTGTGAATTTCCATTTGTTGATCTTGAATAATACAGACTACACAAGAAAACAAAAATCACCAAGAAAGCCCATTGGCCACCTAAGATTTTGATTTTACTTTGAGAAGAAATATTTAGTCTCAGTTTGTGATTAAAGGTCAGAATAAGAGCACATTAAGAACGCGTACTAGACTTCCATCACATTTTGAATTCAGGTTGCCTGAGGGAGAGCTAGGATTTATAACTTTAAAGCATGTAAATTTTAGAGCCGGGCTGTAAAAGGTTTTTTTACATCCCTAAGATGTTAAAGGTTATCCAGTATATTTATGTGACCTAAGTTTGGCTTATTTAGTTTTATGGCCTTAGATATTTAAATCATTATTAAGCATTTGTAAAATATTTCAAAATGCATTTTAAAGGGGAAAATGTGTTGTGTTAGTGGCACTAACATAATTGAAACTACAAAACTGTTCTGTTCACAGACATAATAGATATTGCAATTTTAACTCAACATCTGCTACGCAGGTTGCTGGTGAGAACATTTGTTGAAAATCTGCTCATTGATACTGGGAAGGGGTGGCAATCAGGGCTTAGTTCATAAGGAATTTTACGGAGATCTCCATTTCAGGATGTAGTAAAGCGAAGAGTCCAAACAGCAGGCACTTTTCATGCTTGTACAATGTTGAGCAGCTCAAAGTCCCTCACAAAATGCATTTTCCTCCCTAGCCATCCCTAGCCTAGGAATGTCATTTGTCCGTATACAGTATGGTGATATGCAGTCAATGCTATTGATCAAATTGGCATGAAATTAAGAGCAAAACTTCCTCCTCAGACTTCCTCCCCCTACCCCCCACCCTGCCCTCGCAGCCGAAAGCATAAGATGCTCTTCCATAGGTGGGAGTGAACCCCATCCGTTTTATGTTTCCTTTTAGTTTATCATTTGTCTTAGTAAAGACTGTTGAGTATACAGTGTCAGCGGGGGACTTTGCCTCACTCTACAGAAAATGACATATTGATTCTGAATCAGTTCCAGTCTATTAGATGATACTTCTAAATGTCTCCTTTGTGCAACATCTGTGTTCCCTTTTCTACCAATAAAAACATACTAATGATTCTTACAGAAGTGTCGGAGGAAGGCTTCCAGATTCCAGCCACAATAACAGAAAGATATAAAGTCGGAAGGACAATAGGAGATGGAAATTTCGCTGTTGTCAAGGAATGTGTAGAAAGGTGAGAAGATGTCATTTGCATTGGACTTTAAAGGAAACATTTGGCATTATGTTTTCCAAGGTTGTGTCTTTATTTGCAGTCTCTGGCACATATGGAATAGGTTAATGTCTCAACTCCAGATGGAAAAAAAATGTAAAAGAAAGAAAACCTCATCTAACAACAGATTTGAAAAATGTAGTGATTCCTGGGGACAATCTATAAATTAAGGACTTTGATTTTTCTTTTTAATGTACTCAGCGAAACTTTGCCAGATCTTTCGGATAAGTCCTTTTATTTTGTATGAAAAAAAGAAAAAAGAATCTTTTTCTACACTTTGGGGGGATGTTTGCAGAGGTCAGAATGTTCTCATATAAAGTATATACTGCTAACTTGTACTACATAAAATTAGATATAATAACCTTGAAGAGCTTTAAAATGCAGAAGTACTGATTCCAACAAAAGTGGTATTTAATATATTAAGATGCTTCAAAATGAGTGATCCAAATGCTCTTGCAGAGCCAAAGGAAGAGTTTAGAGTGGAAGATTTATACCCAGGATTCTTGGGACCTAGCCAAGGATAGTGACTGTGACTAGGTGAAGAGGTGACAACTGATGGAATGATAGTCCAGACTAAAGTGTCCTCAAACCATAAATCTGGTGTTAGATTTGCAATTTGTTTCTTGAGCCCTTGTATCCTTTACAGAGACCTGGTCAACCAGCAGCCTCTTCTTGGAACTGGTAGGCAGAGTCAGGGAGGACTCACTTCATTCCTCAAAGGAGTGTTTTCACCTGCTTCCTGGGACCCAACCCGGAATGTCATGAGTCCCAGCTACTCTTCTCTGTCCCCAGTGGGACTTGTGCCCTGCTATGTCCTTCATGCCGTAGGAGAGTAATCTTTCTAGTCGACACTGCCAGTGAGAGAGGGTACCTTAGTTTCAAATCTTTAACTTGCAAGAGCCAGAGTTTGTTCTTTTCCAAGGACTTTGATTTAAAAACACAAACTTTTGTGTCATTTGGGAGCTGGAGGTCTACCCAAGGCCTCAGATACCACGTGGGGTCTTTGTTCCCTATATGTGTGTCACCACTCTTTGGAAGACTGGTGACATTATGCTACTGCCCTGCAGTTGAGCTCAAACTCTGCTCCTCGCCAACATCCCATCTGGCTGAGGCTTCCCTACAGCAACCTGCCATAGCAGCCTTTGGTGAGGAAAAGGCATGAAAAATTTGAAAAATCCTCCATTTGATATTGCTGGCCACTTTTTCCCCTCTCTTTCCCTCATTGCCCCAGAACCAGCACAGAGCTTAGTCATTTGTTGTGTTTCTGCCAAATATACAGAACTTGCCATTACTTTTCTGGACCTCATTCCTCCCCACATAGGAACAATTGCTGTTTACTGAGTATAAACTATATACAAGGCCTATAAGTTATGCTATTTCACTTTACTCTCATAACAATCTGATAATTTCAGTATATCTCCATTTTAGACAAAAAAAAAAAAAAAAAAAACCTGGAGAAGTTAAATCCTCAAGGTCCCTTAGCGACTGAGTATTAAGCAAGACATAGAGCCATGTTCAGCTCCAGAATCCACAGTTTTGATCTCTTTGCTCCACAGCCTCCAACAGGGAGCCTCCCAGAAAAATGTGACTTAAAAGAGTCAAAGTCACATATACTATATTTGTCCCCATACAAATAAAACAGACATTAAATCAGGAAAGCCATTCCTCATGTCATAGATGCAAGAATGTGTTTATGTCATTTTATATTTTATTTTATATTTTATTTTACTGATTGTAAATTCAACTCTTAAAATTTATTTCCACTGTAGCAGAAAATCCCATTTTCAGCAGATTGCCATGCCCTTCCACTGTGGGGTATCTGGGTTTTTGCCAGCGCTCATCATCTGTTGAGTCTGACGTGGGGGCCGTGTGCTGCTTCTCGCTAGTACATGGATTGCTGCGGCTTCTCAGCCCAACTGTACTGTGCTCCCACAATAGAAATTTCTCATTTCTCCCTCCAAAATTAATCTATTTATTTCTAGTTTGGACTGTGTTCATTTTGCATGAGTTCACATCTTGGGTCTCATTGTATAAACCTTCAGAGTCTAAACACCAGATTGCTCCAAAAAGCCTTAGTATTCTATTCCCGCTGAACAAGGACATATGGCGTGTGCCCTCTCTCCCCAGAGGTATCACAAAACATTCTTTTAATATTTTCCAGAGGTCCAAGAAAATAAAAGCGAGCTAAGAATGTTATGAATGGCACACACTGCTGGCGGGTATTATCTGCCATGTTTTGAAAAATGAATATGTATGAACAAGAGCAAGTTTGTCCCTCTCTGTTAATAACATGCTGTCACAGGGAAGATTTTCCTACAACAACGCATGCAATAGTAAGGTTACACAGGCTTTTCCCCCATGGTCGTGTGCCAGTACATCCTCCGGCAGTGGCTGCCAGGCCCATTTAGATTTCTCCCTGTCCCATGGTAGTAATTTGTCCAGTGGCCCCTAAGAGCCCCTAGGGCATGAAGTTGTGAACTGGGCTGTGCTCTGCTTTCATGATGTTTTGAGGAGGCCTCAAAGTTAACTCAAAGAGCTGAGAAGCGTTAGCGAGAGGTGGAGGCATTCGAGGAGGTGCCCCTTGTCTCCAGCTCTCCTGGCTCTTGTGTGCTAATTACTTCCACGCCAAGGGTGTGCGTGACGGGGTCCCGAGCAGCGATGGTGTCCCAGGTGGCTCTAGATTCTCTTCCTCACCTGCACTGCTTGCATTTTTTTTAGTAATGTAGGCCTCAGAACTGTATGAAAATTTTAGCTGCTGCTGATTCCCTCCCTCCCTCCATCTATAAACCTGAAGGAACTGCTCAGCAAAACCACTGACTTAAGCAATAAGCAGAGGCAGACTCAGACCCACCTGAGCCAGCTGAGACTCCAGTGTCACCAAAATGGGTTTCACCCACCAATCTTCTAGAATTTCAAGGACAGGGTTCCTATAGCTTGAAGGCATTTCCTTATAAAGTGAGATTTGGAGGATGAGTTGGGGTGAAGAAGCTCAAATCTCTCAGAAAGTTGATGGTGTTCTTTGTTTCTTTCCTGAGGTTGCTGGGGTACCTTAGAGTCCTTGAGCCATGTTCACTTTCAAAATAAAACTCTATTAAGAGATGTTGGATAGAACACTCTGGAATGCCTCAGTCCCCTCCCCTGCTCTGCTCTGAGTAGTCTACCCACTTATGCAAGAGACTGAGATTGGAATTTATTATGACAACTTGGTAAACAAAGGGTGGTGTTTGCTAACCCCTCCTTCTTGGGGGATGAGGTCTTCCTATGTGTGGTCTAACTGCCACCATCCTTGGGAGTTTCTACAGCTCCCTCAACAAGTCTGGAGCCCCTGTTAGTATAGACCTGAGCTGGGGCTCCAGAAAGATAAGATGTAGTTCCTCTCCACAAGAACTTGACTTTGAACCATAAACAAATGATTGCCGTTAGCACTCAGTAGCAGCAACAGTAGAGGAGTCATTGGGGGGCTGTGTTTCCTTTTCCATGTCATCTTACATAAAACCTTGAAAATAGCAAAAAATAATAAAAATCATGTGAGTCCTGGCATGCCAATATTGCCAACGCACCCCCCGCCCCGCCGCCTTTTTATAAGCATTCTGCTGCCCTCCTATTGAGGGAGGAAGTGGGGAGAAGACTGGTCTGGGATTAAGAATCACTAAGTTTGAGACAGCTTCCTCTAAGCTATATTTAGCACAAATTTTAATAGCTAGATTTACTTCCAAGTTCAGTAAAATTTGGAAATTCCTCTCAGAGGACCACCAAAGCCTTGTTTCCAGTAAGCTGTTATAGGGCCACTGCACCCCAGACTTGCTGGTATTTTCCCCTCAACTTAAGGCACAGGACATAAACTGATTGTTCAATGTCCCATGGCCAGCACATCCGCTTGCTCCCTGGAGTTCTGCTTCTTGTCTGGCTGGCTGAAAAGAGGGTTCTGCCTTACTGGGTCTCACCCTAGACCTTTCCTTTGAGTTCTTTAATGATAGGGAGTCTCAAATGGCAAACATGGGGATTCACAAAATTAAGAACCCCCCTACTTTTCTCACCACACCATCATGTCCATCCATTAATTTGTGGAGGTGTCAGGTGGAACCGTCAGCTTCGACATGGTTCTCTGGCTCAGCCTGGGATTGCTGGTTTTCTTTATGTAGCTAATCCAATAGTCTTTAGCCCCCCCCACCTCCCCCACCTCTCCTCCAGCCCACTTTGAACAAAACTTTCAAACCAGGTAAGAACATGTTCATGTGTTCTAATCTCATTTGCTTTTTTATAATTTTGTAATGATTTATGAAAAACAGAACCCAGAAACACTTTAGCTTTTAGTTTTCCTCATACTTAAAATTTTCAAATTTGCAAACAAAGCCTTCAGAAGCCTCTTAAAAAGTGGCTACTTAAAGGGACACTTGAGCTTTTTGTGATGTGAGGAATCCACTTGTGTGTGAGTTATTTCACTTTCTCATTTTTCTGTTTGCTTGCACATTTAAAATTATAAATGGTTTATATTTCATTTTCCCTCTTACTGATGTGCTTTTTCTCCACCCTGATCCCAGAGGCTTGCTGACTGTCTGGTGAGTGTGTGAGGACATTGAGTACCCAAGTCTTGCATTTAGCCCAAAGCCAACTCATACTCTGCTCCATCCTGGCCTCACTGCCTGGCCATGGGCCAGAAGAGTCAACAAAGGGCAAGTGGCAGGGACACCCTATGGACCCTTGGTCCATTGTGTCACAAGGTTGAAGTAACTTGGGCTCTTCTGGATGTCCCACTTTCTGTAGGAGAGCCACCCTGAAGCAGCGAGAGGGCTTTACCATATCCCATGTGAACCACAAAGCCCTCTTGTGGAGAAGATATGTTTCAAAGTGATACATGCATCAGGGTTTTGTTCACCAAGAGAGAGGCATAACAATTTGCCTTTTTTTTGGGGGGGGGGTGTTTTTGCCAGCTAGCACCATGCAGGGTGTAGGAAGTGTAGTAGAGAAGCATTTTTTTCAGAAGCAAATGACACGAATGCTAAATGACTAAAACGCCCTTGAGACACATTGTTAATATCTGGTTTCTTTATTTGCTTACAGAAATCGTTCTCTTGATCTCATCATGTAACTAGGAAATCCCTCTTTGATTCTCCATACTGTAGATTTTAAAAGCGCTATTTGAAAATTTTGTTTTCATTCTCATTGTATTCATTTGGATCCATAAAATTGTCTTCTACCTGTAGGTAAAAGGGTAGTCTGTTTGGATTTCCCACCAGAAATGATATGGCAATGCTTGTGAATAGGGTTTGATTATTAAGTATGCGTTGTGTTCTTTGACAATAGACCTGTTGTGTTTTGCCCTATGATGTCTTAAGAAACATTAATACAAGTTAGGAAATTCTTTAAAGGTACTAACATGACTAAAACCTCCTTTCCACATCCACCATGAAGAAGGGGTAGTGTTGGTTAGAAGGTATGTGAAGCAGAGACCCCAAGAACTCAGAGCCTTGATTTAAACTCAGCCATGTGGTTTTGGGAAAGTGACTTGATTTTAATCATCACCTTCATTTTACTTTTATGAAATGAGACAGACATAAAAGGTCCAATAGGTGAAAGAGAACTCAGATAATGGCTTTACCCTTTTTCTATGCACACTTAAATACATTACTCATGAGATACAGCAGATCCCAGCCTTCCACGCCAACCAAAGACTAAAGACTATGAACTGCTTCTTGAAAGTTTTCAGTGTGAATGTGATAACAACCACTGAGTAAACTGTCACAGCCACACTCTGGAGAGAGATTCTCAAGAGGGACTGGAAGTGTGTGTTCAGGCTACCCCACTTTAGAGGGATGGGCAAGACACATTAGCAGGGGAGGTTATGTATGGCAGTAGCAATAGTAGTGTTTTAGTACAAACATGACAACATTAACAGATCAAAATGTTTCTATGTTAGCATGTTTTTGAACCTTATACTTGGTCAACCCTCCAGAAGTTGACATATTTTCTTTAAAAAAGAAAAAGAGAGGACTTACAAAGTATTTGCACCATGAAGCAAAATCTATAAGGTGAGGCATTACTCCTTAACTCAGTGATCCATTAAATCTGAAATTATGTTTATTAAAAACAATCTTTCTCTTTGCAGGTCTACAGCTAGGGAGTATGCTTTGAAAATTATCAAGAAAAGCAAATGTCGCGGCAAAGTATGTATAAGGTTTATTTTTACAAAAATACAGTGGTGGGTAGAGAGGAACACAAAAATGAGCTACCAAATAAACTGAAGTTCACCCTAATTGTTCCATATTGGTGGAATATAGTGTTATCTACTAATTCATATATAAATTTATGCTATAAACATTCCTGAAATAAAAGTTGGTTGGAGTGATTGGATGTTATTCTGTACCTTATCCTTATGTGCTTGTTTACTTTCTTGCCTTTTATGATCTAAGTTTCATGCCATCCTACTATATAACATTACAGTTCCCATGACAGAGTCTGAATTTACAGGCATTATCTCAGGACCTTCAACATCTTTTGGAAATTCTAGGCTATTTGAATATCAAAATGATAAACTCATGATATTTTACCAAGATACGTCTCCCTCAACCCCCAGATAATATAATTTTACTCATTTGTGTTAGAGCCTCATATATTTTGAAGTGTATATTGATTAAGGTAACTTTTTTCTTGGACAGGAGCACATGATTCAGAATGAAGTGTCCATTTTAAGAAGAGTGAAACATCCCAATATTGTTCTTTTGATCGAAGAGATGGATGTGCCAACTGAACTTTATCTTGTCATGGAATTAGTAAAGGTGTGTATTTTGGAAAAGAAATAAACCTTTACAGAGCACTACACTTACCTTTATATAAAAGAACGAAATCTTTTCTTTCTTCCCACCAAGATTCAGTCTCTCATTGCTGATTGGGCTTAATGTTCAAGAGTATTAACACTAGAATTATGCCTCAAGAGTTCAAGTCCCAGCATTGACCGAAATACAGGGACTTGTGCTTCAGTTCTCCAATATGCAAAATGAGAATAATGATAGTACCTACTTAGGGGTATTATTGTGGGGATGCAAGGGATGGTGCCTACCAGTTTGTATAACACAGAAAGTATTGGAATATGATGCAGAAGTATCTACCACTAGTCAGTGAATGTTAGAATCTTACCCTGTGGCATAAAACTGCTTCTTTTATTCTAGTCAAACTTACAATATAGAAGGAGTTAAATGTTGATAATCTAGGTGATCAGTGACTCACTTATTTATATATCATGTTTGAAACTTTCAGTAAACCAGAAGTTTTTTAAATTGAAGATTTTGTTTTTAGGAAGTTATACTTTTCTCAAGCTTTTCCTATCATAGTAATGTACCTTAAGATGTAAGGAATTTCTACTTTAGTTGTGGAGTGTTGTAAGTTAGTGGCACTGCCATCTGCATTAACTGTGCGCGTCGTGGTGAGTCTGGGGCTTCAGGAACTGTGTTTGGAATCACACCCGGGAACTAGTGGCAGGATTCAGCATTGTGGAGCACAGGGTTTTCTTTTGTAAAGATTTAAGACAAAGAAAGCATTGAAAACACTAGTCTGTTCTGTATAGGAAGATGTTCCTAGACCTTTAAACATTCATTATTCAGATTTGCTTCATTGTAGATCTGTTGGCATGTGTTTTTTGCTTAGTTTGTTATTTATATTTTTATAGATGGAACCATTTGTGTGTGTGTGTATATATGTGTGTATACACTTATATGACTTCAAGTTAGAATTCATTTATTTCTGAGAGGAGTGAGGGCTCATTTTTGTCTTAAGGTTATTGTCACACTTGAGGCTGAAAGGGATAAAAATATCAATTGGTTGGAGCTTTCCCCCTCCATCTGAATGTAGAACATTCTTATTATGTATAACTTGATCTAGGAACACTATTACCATTAATTTACATGGAAAAATGCTTGAGCATTTCCAGACCCAAAAAATAATCCATAAAATCATACCAAATTGAAACATTCTACTTTCAAATAGCAGGGGAAACCTGCATTACAACAAAGGTCAATTTCATTTATTCAGAAAATTTTCATATTGGCATTTTATTACCAAAAAAGTTTGGTAATTTCCAACATTATAAATAATACTTTATGAGGGACCAAAGATATTTATTTTTACAATGCTTTTAATTTTTACCCTAACAATTTCAAACCATTTTGTTGCCCCTCTGTGTGCTATTTTTTGGCTAATTTTTATTAAATTAAATTTGAAGTTGATAAATAAAAAAGGCAAAGCCTCAAGAGTTCAGAACACATTTTGTGGGAAATCTTAATATGAATGTCAACCATATGCATTGTCAGGTGACTGTAACCAAGTCAGTGGTGACTAAAACTAGAGGGGTCCTCCTGTCACCTAACAGCCTTTATCAGTTCTCTCTGGGTGACCAATAAGGCCAACAAGTGTCTACAGCATTGGCTCTCCTCAACTGTGCCACTAAATTGTGCCTTTAAATTAGTCTGACCCAGGCCCTATGAGGATGGGTCTGGGGGCATCCTAAGATGTGCAGGCCAGCCCCAGGCTGACTTTAACATTCCCCCTGAGAAATGTAACTGGGCCTTGCTTCTCAAACGCTAAGGACACATTGGTGTACCAAAGCTAAAGGATAAACAATGTCTATATTCTGGAAAACGATGAAATAGTTATCATGAGTGAAAGTCCATAATTATTAGGAACAAGACTTCAGAATTCTGCCTGTGCACGTCCAAGCTACTGGTGTGTTTACAGGAAGGCAGCTTTGTGGAGGATGAGCAAGAGGACCAGATCCTCGAAGATCAACAGAAGTTAGAAAGACAAAGGGAATAGAAGGGACATTCCAAGCAAGCAGGGAGCTCTAATGACAGAGTACCTGGAGTTCAGATACTGGGAACTCAGTAGAGTTTTTGCAGGGTTACCACACATAGCCACACAAGTCTTTCTATGTTCAATTAGCCCACCATGATCCCCACCTCCCCAGAAGCAACCACCAAGCCTGCAGATTGGAGCCTTTCAGAGAAGCAGAAGTTGAGAGAGAAAGTGTTTATTATTTTTAAAAAAATAAGTGTTTAGTTTGGGAACTGCTGAGGCCGAATGGACAATGGGTCAAGCCTCCCAACTGGAAACTGTACAGAGTAACAGGACCAGGCCAGATAGTGAGATCGGAAAATTGTCAGCCTGCAAAGATTATATTTTGCTTTTACTATTGGAAAATAAAAATTGAGTCCCTTGCTACATTAGGACACAGATGAACACAAGTGGCTGTTCTGTATTGTATGCAAGAATGATGCAAATACTAAATTTGGGTTAGTAAATCAGGCCCAAATTCTCTGAAAGGGTTTCAAATAAATGGAACTAAAATTGGAACCTGAAATCACTGTTTTGCCAATTAACATTAAATTAACAAGGAACAGGGAAATCAAAAGTTCAAATGAATAAGGGCACTAGAAAACTTTCTTTGTAATCTCTCCACCCTCCACCTTCCCTTTCTCTCTCATCTTGGGAATGACAATTTCTGGTCCTCTTCTCTGTTCCTTACAAAGAAAACACATTATTGGAAAAGAAAACACTACGCCCAATCTAAGAGAGCTAAATATAAAGAATGAAAGGAATATACGTATGTGCTCACCAGGCAGCAGAACTTTTTGGTAAAGGCACCATTTACAGAATTACCTGTTTCTATTTGGGGAGGTTTAGGATTAGGCATTTAAATTTCTGCTGGCAGTTGGCATGAGGCATATAGCACATGGCCTCCAGGATAACCAGGTGCCACAAGTCCTCTACCCTGGAGACCCAGCTCCACCCCCCAGCATTACCTCTCCTCCCTGCCAGGGGCCTGTGGAAATGACTGTGTCTGATGGCAGGGAAGCCTCACTCTGCTCCTTTCTTGAAAGTATAGAGGAAATGTCACTGGTTTTCACATAGGAGAGGCAGAAAGACTTTCTGCCAGAAAGTCTCTGGGCCTTTCAGAGGGAAGTAGCAAGGAAGGCCCTCAGAACCCAAGTGCCGGCCTCCATTATTCATTTCCTTTCTAGTGTGTCAGCTGCCTCTCCAGGCGGCCCCGTTGAACCATCTGCTAGTGCACTTTTCTACCTGCTCTTTTCCTCTCAGGGAGGAGACCTCTTTGATGCCATTACTTCCACTAACAAGTACACTGAGCGAGACGCCAGTGGAATGCTGTACAACCTGGCCAGTGCCATCAAATACCTGCACAGCCTGAACATCGTCCACCGCGACATCAAACCAGAGAACCTGCTGGTAAGAGAAATGCCAACTTTGGGGCATTTTGAGTGAATACAAATAATTCTCTCTCTCTCTTTTTTTCTTATTTTTCTTTCCTTACAAAAAAATACCATCAAAGCCGCTTTCCAATAGGCCTCCAGTTAACTAGCTGGAAATGACTAGCCTTTTCACTTGATCTACAAGGGTTAATGCTTTAATGCTTCATTAGGAGCTCTTGGCTTATTAGTAAATAAAACACTGCAGCATTGGGTAGGGAGATATCTCAGGAAACCTATGACTATAGTTAGCCCCTTGGGCTGGGCATTTCACATATATTTATACTTACAGTATTACCTATGGCACTCTTTGTTAGAAAGTTTTTACCTGGGACAATAAAAAGCAATGACTTTTAGACTTTCTCTTGGTCTTCTAAATTTACATTCCCCAAAATATCTAAAACCAAGAGAAAATTCTAGCGAATTTTAAAGACACCAAACCCTCTACATAAAAATAATCATGATGAAGAGTGTTTAAAAATCAAAGAAAAATCTTTAAAAAATAAAAATCAAAATCAAAGATAGTTTTATCCCCTTTGTGACTATTTGGTTTGCTTTGAACTGTGTGTTTAGGATCTTCTCTTGGTTCAATTGTTAAGGGGACACTACTGAAAAGAAATGTGACAGACTGAACATGGGGAGTTGCCACTGGTGAATATAGGAATAAAAATTTTTGCTGGCTATTCAGGTTAGAATTTTTATGAAATCTATCTTCAGTTTCTTGACCTAAAAAACTAATTATTTTGCTTTTATTACCCAGCCCTGAGAGTCGTGTTATATCATTTTATCCATCTTTTCAGAAATCTGGGAGTTGAGGATTATCTTTTCAAAGCAGTGTTTCTTCAAGGAAAGAATTCCCTGGACCAGAGTAATTCCCAGTTAAAAATGTCTTAAGTCTCCCTACAAACCTACCAAATTAGAATCTGAGTGTAGATCTGCACTGCAATAAGCTCCCCAACATGATCCACGTGGACACTCAAATTTAAAAGCAGATGAGCAGCCGGACCCCCACAGCATGAACAAAGGCTGATAAGATCTCTAATGGGGATCCAGTTGCCTTAAGCAAAGGGCTTTACACTCCTGTCATTTAATCCTCACAACCGCCACATGGTATAAATTCTATTACTGTCCCATCTCACACGTAAGGAAATTGGTGCCTCAAAGTTAAAAGATTTGCCCAAGGTCATTAAAAGCTCATAAGTGGAAGAGCCAAGATCTGGACCAGGTTCTCATCTCCTCCAAAACCCAGCTTTTAGCCACTGAACTCCATAAAGGGATGAATTAGGAAGAGAACTTTATTGTGTAATTGCTATATGCCAGGGAACAAAAGAGACATATGCCTTCGTAACGTTGACATTCAAATGGGGGAAAAGGCATTCAAGCAATAAATACATGAGCAATTAATTGCAATTATGTTAGCCATCCTCTAGCTACTATTCAATGAAGGCAGCTGAGGTCAAATGACCTATTCTGACTTAATTGCTCCTCAAATTCCACATCCGTAGTAGCCTAAACATTCTCTCCTGCATAGTTACCTCCATAAACTGCAGCAATTTTCTCTCATCTGCATTCATTATTCCTGTGTCCTGAATTATGTAGAATGCTCTCCTGGGTACAGACTTACAACTGAGCCTTTGTTTAAAAACTTCTCTATGCTTGAAAATTCAGTGATTGAAATTTAAAGTTTTATTTCCTTCCCCTTTCCTAGTTCAGTTTATGTACCCATTGTTCCCTTGCTTCTCACCAGAGCATTATCTATTTTTGTAAATGCCATACATGATTATATAGCAGTGTACTTTTACTAAAATTACAATTTGCAGGGTATTTTTTTAAGTATTATGTTCATTCAAATGCGTCTAAATTACCCTCACAAGAAAAAGTTCCTTTTTTTTTTAAAGATTTATTTATACAAGGGTGAGGATACAGGCCAGAAATGCAGGGGTGTGGGGGGGAGTGAGAGGATTCACCAGAGACAGAGTGGGGAACAGAACAGGCAGACAGACTGAAGCACACTACTAAGGGGAGCAGCAGGCAATACGAGAGGTCTGCCGCGCCATGTGGGTATCTCCCTGGCCAGCTGGGAATCGAACCTGCACTTCAGAGGCTGCGGACAGCTTCACGGCACAGCACTTAACCCTCTGTGCCACCAGGAAATCCTCCTTCCTTCCTTCTTTTCCCCTTTCCTTTCTAATTTAAGAATTTGTATGTGTGTACACACACACACACTCACACGCACCATTGCAGTCATTCACAACATGTTTTAAATATATATATATATATATATAAATGCAAAACTAAAGTGTATTTGCTTCTTCAGTATTAATTTCTTACTATGGGGGATGGTGAGGGTTGGTAAGTTTTGTGTGAATAAATCTATTATAGGACAAAATATGTAGAATCAAATAAGTGCTATAGTAAAATATTTTTTATAAAAAGTAATAGAATAAGTTTAACAAAATTAGGGTGACATCACTAATTGCACTTGAGACCTGTTAATTTCACATTCTATGGACATTTGTGTGGAAATAAAAGAGAACCATCATGGGAGACACACTTACACATACCCAGGATTTATAGTCATATGGACAAAAGTTCAAAGCCAAGTGCTTCACTTCTCTACTGGCTAATTTTATGATCTTCAGCAAGTGACTTAACTCCTTTGACTCCTTTAAGAGGATTTATGAAGATAAACAGATAGTATGTAACTGTTAGTACCCTCCCTTTTTATTCCCCTTTTATTTGTATTAAAAATTAAGTTATCCCTAAAAATAAATTGTGTACTGATCTTTTGTTTTCATTTGACATTGATTTTAAATTTTTACCATTCAGCCATGAATGGATTTGCCATCCAATGGCAAAATGTAATACTAAAATTAAGTTTTTTAATCCATTTCTTATTACCAGAAAAATTATGAAATAAATGAAAAGACCTCACTGAATACTTTGAATTACTGTTTTCAATAGAGAGACATCAAAAAAAATTGTTAGACTAATAACAAAATTTGTGTAATTATTTATACAATGTTTATTATAGCTGTTAAATCTCTAATTACTTCTAGATTTCATTTTATATAGTATCATTGTATGTGAAGAAATTTTACCATTTTTTAATTTTTAGTTCTTATAGAAACTATAAAAATGCTGCAGTTTGGCCCTAAAGAGCTGTATTGATCAAGTGAATGATTTATTCAAGTCTAAGTATTTGATTAGTTGGAAGCATTTTTCTGAAAATATGTTATTCACAGTGATATTTCTGTCACATTTTAGATTGAAAAATGAAAATTTCTCAAGTTTTCTTCTTTTTACAAATTCATCATGCCAGTGATTCTATCTAGTTCATTTTGCTTTGTTAGGCCTGATGCTTAATGATCTTAGGCATGAGTGACAGGTAGATGAGATCAGAGAGTCAGTGAATGAGGAACACTTCTTCACAGAGGAGAGGACAGACCCTACGTGACACATCCAGGCCATTTCTCAACTCATTTGTTACCTTGAGGACTCACACTGACCTCAGTGTAAAGCTCATTGGGGAGAGAAAGTACAGCGTTTCCCCCTCTGCACCGATGATGGGACCATTATGTGTGTATGTGTACATGGCCACATGTGTGTATACACACTGCGTGCCATGAGAGTTTACTTTTAGATGAAATACTTTTTTTCTTCCATTTTTTAAATTTTTGGACAGTATTTGATTTCTTCCCTCAGGTGTTGTCCTCGTAGCTCTCCCACCACCACAGCACCCGTGTTCCATCTCTGTAGTTCCTTGTGCTCTTCCCTCTCCCTTATCCCACTCCTGGATGTCTTGGATCTATGGTCAGCTCACAAGTTTTGCTTTTTTCTGACCCTTTGTTTGGTTTCTCTATATTGCACATACAAGTGAAACCAAGATAAACCATATTTATCTTTATCCTGCTGACTTATTTTACTGAACATAATCCCTTCCAGCTCCATCCACGTTGCTGCAAATAGCATGAGTTTAAATTTTTCATTGCTGTGTATTTATGCCACATCTTGATCCATTCATCTGCTTTAGGGCATGTAGGTTGTTTCCATATCCTGACTATTGTAAATAGAGCCACAGTAAACATAGGCATACAGGTTTCCTTTCAAATTAGTGTTTTTGTGTTCCTTGGGTTGATTCCTAGGAGTGGAATTGCTGGATCATATGGTAGCTCCATTTTTAGTAATTTGGGGAACCTGCACACAGCTTTCCATAGCGGTTGGACCAGTTTCCATGCCTGCCCACCCACAGTGTAAGAGGGTTCCTTTTTTACCACATTCTTGCCAGCACTTATTATTTCTGTTTTCTTTTAATATGGACCATTCTCACAGGTGTGACATGGTATTTTATTGTGGTTTTGATTTGCATTTCCCTGATAATAAGTTATGTTGAACATTTTTTATATGCCTGTTGGCCATTTGCATTTCTTCTTTGGAAAAGTGTCTGTTTAGCTCTTCTCCCCATTTTTTGATTGGTTTGTTTGATTTGTTTTTGTTGATCTGTGTGTGCTCTTTGTAGGTCTTTGATATCAATCCCTTTTCAGATATGTTGTGTCAATATTTTCTCCCATTCAGTAGGATGTCTCTTCATTTTGGTTTCTGTCTCTTTGGCTGTACAGGAGATTTTTAGTTTGATGTAGTCCGAGCTGTTTATATTATTCTTGTTTTTCTTGCTTCTGGAGATGAGTCCTCAACGATTTTTCTGAAATTTATGTCATGGGTATTTTACCTATGTTTTCTTCTATATATTTTATGGTTTCAGATCTTACAGCCAAATCTTTTATTCAGTTTGAATTGAGTTTTGTATTTGGTGAAAGATAGTAATCTAGTTTCATTCTTTGGCATGTGACAGTCCAATTTTCCCGGCACCAATTGTTGAAAAGACTTTTCTTAAAAAAATACCAAAAAAACAAAAAATAGAAAAAAATGTTTCCTTATTAAGATCAACCACCTTCAGTTTATATGACTTACCACTAGATG